TTCGCATGCTAAGCATATTTGATTCTTCTCCATTATTTTTGTGCCGTGAGGTATGAGATGGAGAATCATTTTCGTACGTACGTGCAAGGGGATTTGCGTGCAAAATTTTACGGAAAAAACGGTTCGGTTGAGTTTAGTTTAAGTTTGAAAACAATCGAACTAATATTAACATTACGATTCGATTTGATTTAGTTTAGGTTGTAATTTGAAAGGAAAAAAAAAACCTATTCATTGATACCATATTCAGTAACGAACGATAAATGAAAATGAATGATATAATTGATTTGGTTCACTTTTGGCTAGATCTGATTGATTTTATTCAATTCAGGAAAGAGTATTGAAGAGAAGGAGAGGGGGAGAAAATAAGGCTGCAGAAAGAGATACAAAGTATAAAAGCCGAATGCGCCAATGTGATGACTAGTTCAACAAGACCCAATTCTTAACCAAAATTGAACTTTTGAATTTTTACGGCTCAGTTCACCGAGAGAGGATCCTTACCGGATTCTTTTTGTGAGGATCTCGGTAATCATCCAATCACATTCGTTCATCGTACATCGTGCGGTCAATTTTTGTCAAGTACTGTTTATATTCAATTTTAAATATAAAAAATTACAATGATTTCTGACCGCATAATGTACGATGAACGGATGTGATTGGAGGATCCCCAAGATCCTCACAAAGAGGATCCTACGAGGATCCTCACAAAGAGGATCCTACGAGGATCCTCCTGGCAGTTCACCCACTTTCATTAGTTTGTTAGTTCAGATACCTACTCTTACTATCAATTGAATTTTTTTGCATGTTTACTTAGAGAATACTGCTTGCAGTCATTTTTTTTAGATGAGCTCATTCTTCCATGTGTAAATAACAAATATTCACCATAACAATATTATAATCAGAACCTTTCGATGTCTTAATCTTCATTTGCAACTCATCCTTACAAAAATATCCATTTGAAATGAAGATCGTTTTGGCATCCAAATGTATCAAATAAGTCTAATACATTTATAAATAATTAACGCAAGACCAACATTCTTTAGAGATGATTGTTTCTTTTTTTAACAAACGATATTATCTACACTAAGGGGGAGGGGGTGAACTTAGACTCACAATGGGCTAGCAATAATGTGGTTCAATTAATTGTTTATTAAATATTATTTTCTCTATTCTTAATATAAATTCTGTAGAGATAGATTTTATTATGTGAATTCAGCTACTTTAATTGGTTTATGAGGGGTTTAATCTAGCATGATCTAAGATTATTCATTTACTTCAAATATTTGACTTTCCTTTTGTCAATTTACACATATATATATTTAAACCGTGTAAATCACGCGTAGCACGCCGTGATTCAAAAAATATCTTCTGCACGCACTCACGCGCGTGCATGGAGGCTAGTTATAATCTAATTTGAAAAATCAATTAGTTGGTGTAGCCAAAGAAAACATTAATTCTTTGGTTGTCGGTTGATTATCTTTTTCCTGTGCGGACTTCAATTGAAAACAGAAAGCTTGATCAGTCGTTTTTAAAAGCAACAAAAACACTCGACGCAAGCTCCAAAACACTTTTAACTAATTAACAAATGGCACAAGCAAATACAGTTGAATTTGAACTCTCATTATTTATTCAAAAACAAGATTTGCACTACCTAATTTTCCATGGACAATTTTTGTTTGATGTTGTCATACATGACAGAAATAAACTTCGAATCTCACTGTCCAGAGTCTAATAGTCAAACAATTCGGAACGTTCAAATTAAATCTGATGATCATCATTAACTCATCATGTTAGTCGATCTTACACAAATTAAGAGGTTTGATTTCTGTTTCATACAAATCACGGGTCCAAATTATTTGATTCTTAAGCTTCGGACACTAAAATCCGAATAGAATCCAAATTCAATCGGACGTTTGATTCTGAGATCCAATGGGGATAAGGTAGGTCTGAAAAATGGATGGCTTTTATATTTCTAATTCTTCTCCAACTGCAAAGTGCTAGTTCCACTTGGGGAAAGAAAAACGTGCTAAATACTTTCCACGTGGTTTTTTTCTTAATATTTCGGCACAGGATAAAGCAATGTTTAATTTCATTTTGAAAATTGGATTTGTTATTTATTCATGAAGTCAAAAGAAAAAAGGTGAAAAACTGCGCCTCCATTTAGGGTTTGATAATTCCAATTTGACTTCTGTGTTTGAAAGGTGGAGATTCATTATTTTTTAATATTATTTTATACCAAAGCTGCTAACCCTACATATTAACTAAGGTCAAAAAACCAGAGCTCCTAGTTAAACTATTGAGAGAGGGTCAAAGACCGGTTTCTAATTATATTGATATTGTCTCTAACTTGGGTAAACTGTCGGTTTACCCTTTGAACTTTCATCTCACTTTCGATTTCCCCCCTGAACTTTTCTATTGGAAAATTAAGGACTCAAACTAATTTTTTTAGCCAATTTGCCCCCTACCGTTAGTTTTTCATATATTTCATCCATATTTCCGTTAAGTGAGACCATGTGCAAAACATGTAAGGATAGTTAAGTCATTTCAATTTAAAAATGATTAAAAACTGAAAATAAATAATAATAATAATTTTCCCTCTATTTTTTCCCGCTAATTCCTATCCTCAATTTTAATTTTCCCTCTCATTCCTATGCATGAGAAATAGCATATGGTGTTATTGTCTTCATAAGTTGCTAAGTTAATCTTTTTTTTTGAAGCATGTACTACCATTTTTATTTTCTCTAACAAATTAATAATTTGACAAATGCTCATGGTGTTATTGTCTCCAAAGCAGTGCATTAATATAAGAAACATGTCCATAAAAAAGACTAGGGTTTCTTATATTAATGCACTGCTTTGGAGACAATAGCACCATTAGCATTTGTCAAATTATTAATTTGTTAGAGAAAATAAAAATGGTAGACAATAACACCATATGTCATTTCTCATGCATAGGAATGAGAGGGAAAAATAAAATTGAGGATAGGAATTAGCGGGAAAAAATAGAGGGAAAGTTTTGTTTTTTTTATTATTTTCAGTTTTTTAATCATTTTTAAGAGTGAAATAACTTAACTACTCTCACATGTTGTGCACATGGTCTCACTTAACGGAAATATAGACGGAATATATGAAAAACTAACGGTAGGGGGCAAATTGGCTAAAAAAATTAGTTTGAGTCCTTAATTTTCCAATGGAAAAGTTCAGGGGGAAATCGAAAGTGAAGTGAAAGTTCAGGAGGTAAACCGACAGTTTACTCTCTTAATTAATATATGCACAGTATAACATGTATGAGATTTTATTAAAATATCTCAGTAATAGTTGAAGTGCGATTAGAATATTTGAAATTGTATTCTCTGTCTCTACCCCATGTGGTATATTTCAACGAACTCTACATATTATTAATATTATCATCTCTTGTTCGAAAGGTGATTAATTACTATATGTATCTCTCTCTCTCTCTCACTGCCGATGAGGCAGAACAGCTGTGATATATATAATGCTAAAACTTGAGGCAGTCAAGAAGAGAAGGCAATCATGCGCGATTAGTTAGTAACAATTCCTACTATTAGCTTCATTATCCGCTCATAGTAAAGTCATGCACCTAATTTGCAGGACAAGCAAATATAGGCGTAGCTACAAGCTTACGATTATTAGAGCAAGTGTACTGCACTCAAGTTTGAATTTCATTTACAATAGTTAGATTCATTTAAAGTAAAATATCGTTTCTATAAAACAATTCAAAAAATAATGCTTAGGTCTTGACTAATCAAATGGTGCAGACTACGACTCCCCAATAAACAAAAAAATATGGGAGGTCCTGGGTTCGATGCTCCGAGCTGATGAGTCTGCTTGACTATAGTCACATGCAAGGTGAAATTCCTCATAGCTTTTTTGGACCTGAAAAGGGTGAATAACCGTAGTTTGCCACCAGTTGTCTCCCTTTTTTTAAGGAAGAAAAAAACCCTACTCATCGTTATAATTTTATATGGCTCAATGATATTATTACGTATATGTACAATATTTTGACCAAGATTACTGAAGAAGCAATAAACGAGCACTTTGCAATGTACTATGAGTTAACATAACCTGTGGTGTTATTATTATACTCAAATTATAACAAGTAAATTTATTAATATATCTACAAATATGACACATCAAACCCTATTGTCCATTCTTAAATTATACTAGGCAGAATAATACATATATGCACCCACCACATCCATCTAACTAATACAAAGAGTGACACGAGAAACCTTTCAACTGAATAAATTAAATGAGAATTAAAAAAATAATAAAAATAATAAGTGTGTAGACAAAGAAAAAAAAAAGGTACATAAATCACTTCTTTAATGTATGTTAATAAATTCTAAATTCTATTTCCTAATAGATTTTAAAAATACCAAGACATATATATAATCTTTATGTTTAAACGAAAATATCACAATTTGCATGCGTAATTCGTTATGAGTAATGTTAAATAGATTAAACTGTAAACCAAATTTGCAAACTAAATGATGTGCGACTAATAAAAATAAGCATGTTAATCAACATTAAGTAATAATCTAATTATCAACTTTCATGTCATTTAGTTTTTGTTTACAAATTAAATCTCCATAACATTACCCATTCATTTTATTGCAACACTTTTTTTTTATGTGATTTAATATAATATAACAATTATTTTATAATTCGGGTCTTGTGACTATCGTGATCTCATGATATTCTTATATAATCTTTCATTTCCCTTCGGACTTATGCCGATTGTTAATATTAAAAAAAAATGACAGTAAGAATAACGAGTTATACCAACAACATTATATTTTTAAAACGACTAATTAATTTTGTTGCACATTTTATGCAAGTAGAGTAGGGACGGATTCAATATCTCTAGATGATCATGTAGACCCTAGCCACCTTTGAGTGGAGACCTCACAAATTTACAAACAATTTATATATCAACGAAATTTTGAAGTCCATATCTACGCATATAGTATATATAATACTCCCTCTTACCCTCTCATCTTTCATCCTCAAAAAATCTCCATTTGCAAACCGAAGTTTTCTCTTCAAAGGCAGCCATGTTTGTAGCTCTCCTTTTACTTTGGTCTCTTTTGTTCCTCCTCTACGTCTTCTTCACCACCATCCGGAAATATCAAACAAAACTACCGAAACCACCATTGAGTTCTACCTATGGGCCTCCTTCCTACCCCATAATTGGCTGCTTTATCTCTTTCTGCAAGAACCAACACAACCTCCTAGACTGGTACACCAGTCTCCTCTCAGCCTCACCGTCACAGACTATAGTTGTGCACAGGATAGGTGCACGACGCATTGTTGTGACGGCAAACCCATCCAACGTGGAGCACATTCTCAAAACAAACTTTACAAACTTCCCCAAGGGAAAACCCCTAACTGAGTTCCTCGGGGACCTTCTGGGCTGCGGCATATTCAACGTGGATGGCGACTTGTGGTCCACGCAGCGGAAGCTCGCGAGCCATGAGTTCAGCACAAAGTCCCTGAGGGAGTTTGTTGTGAAGACTCTTGAGGAAGAAGTCGAGGGCCGACTTATTCCGCTGCTGGAAGAAGTTGCAGAGAGCCAAAGGGTTTTGGATATGCAGGAAATACTGAAGATGTTTGCTTTTGACACTGTGTGCAAGGTTTCATTGGGCACCGACCCATTTTGCTTGGATTTGAGCCGACCCGTGCCTCCCCTTGTGAAAGCTTTTGATTGTGCTGCTGAGATAAGTGCCAGAAGGGCTACAGCTCCTTTGTATTTGATGTGGAAGATGAAGCGTGCATTGAGCATTGGGTCCGAAAAGAAGCTCAGGGAAGCAGTGAATCTCGTTCATGGCTCTGTTCATGGTATGAAATTTCAATTACTTCCCGATTTTATTTTGGTTTACGCTGAAACATTAATTGTCCATAACTGGTTGAGATTTGGTTTATATTTGCCAATATGGAGGATAAAATTTTGATTAATATAATTGATATTAGTCGATACTATTCACGTTAATTTGTTCATATCAACAAGAAACCGAAAATACTTTAGATTGAATCTCTTTTTGTAAATTAAAGTAGTGTAAAATATTCTCTTGGGAAAAATTGCTGACAATGTACTGTAAATAAAATACGGGTAGTATTTTAGTTTTTGTAAACAAAATTCGGGTATTTTATTTGATATTTTTGTATATATTTTCATACCCGGACATTTCCGTCGTCATCGGTACTTAATACTGTGATTTGATTGATTTGTTGCAGAAATAATCCAAAACAAAAGGAAGATTCTTGAAAGAGATGAAGGAGAGAGAATTGAAAGCCACGACATTTTGTCACGGTTGTTACTAGCAGGACACGGGGAGGAAGTGGTGAGAGACATGGTGATAAGTTTCATACTTGCCGGACGTGACACCACCTCAGCAGCCATGACTTGGCTCTTCTGGTTGCTCAGCAAGCATCCTGACATAACCCACAAGATTGTGAACGAAGTCGAAAATGTCGTCGTACAAAACAATGGTACGGAAAAACTAGGGTTTGATGATTTGCAAAAAATGAGGTTTCTGAGGGCTAGTTTGTGTGAGACTATGAGGCTCTACCCACCAGTCCCATGGGATTCCAAGCATGCTGAGGTGGACACTGTCTTGCCAGATGGGACTTGGGTTGGGAAGGGAGATAGGGTTACTTATTTTCCATATGGGATGGGGAGGATGAAGGAGCTGTGGGGAAAAGACCGGTTTGAGTTTAACCCGGACAGGTGGTTTGACATTGAACCGGGTTGTGATGGTGATAATAAGGTTTTGAAATTTGTGAGTCCATATAAGTTCCCGGTTTTTCAGGCCGGTCCAAGGGTTTGTCTTGGGAAGGAGATGGCTTTTATTCAGATGAAGTATGTGATGGCTTCGGTGTTGAGGCGGTTTGAGATCAGACCGGTTTGTGGGGAGGACCGGCCGGTTTTTGTTCCTCTCTTGACGGCCCATATGGCAGGTGGGTTGAAGGTGTTGGTTCGAAAAAGAAGTTAGCTAGATTGGTAAACTCCATGCTTGAAAAGGCATTTCATTCATCACGAATATGCACGTTTCTTTACTTCTTGTGTAGCTATGTTAAATTTGTTGAAATGCAAAAATGTCTTTAGAAATATGGCAGTTATAATTTAGGGTGAAAGTCGCTTAACCATGCATCCTTATTAATAACGAGTTTAACCCACTTATTTAGTTCTAACAGAGAATTCAAGTTCATCTCGTCTGATTTAAATAAAACATCCCTTGCTTTATTTAAATCCAATTAATCGTGTTACAATTAGTAGATCGAGTTTCATTGGCTTATCATTTGAACTTTCGTAAAATCGCATAATCGGCCGGACTTATAAGGTTAACCTGAGTTTTAACCCACTTATTTAATTCGCATTCAACATTCAAGTTAACTTCGATTAAGCCGATCCAAATAAATTAATGTAATTAATAGTTTTGAATCTTTTTCCCTCTTTTTAATAATAATATTAAAAAGATTGGATCCAAATAAATTCAACCCAAATCCAAAGCCTCGTTCAAATCGATCGGGTTGGCTGAGGACCCATACAAATGTACATCAATTTGATTTGGTTCATATATTAAGAAGCTGTTATTTTCACTTTAAAATATCTTGCACTCTATCTGGTAAAAGGAATACAGTTGTGAAACGTGACTCCAAAACTAGGGTTCCATGTTAGTGTACTCTAGCAGACTATACTGCATCTAAAGTTGGTAAGTTTTTCCCAAAACCAGGAGAGCTCAGGACATGAAATGTGATATTTATCGCTACAACACAATAGGCTTGACTGGTTTTAGACGAATACAGAGTTGTAATTAGGTTTCACATTTACCTCGGAAATGGGTAAAAGTTAACCTGCAAACTACAAACACCCCCCACCAAAGTTTTGTTGAAGTTCCAAATCCATATTTATTCATTTTTAGCAAGCAGATAACTTAGAGCCTATGTGGAATCTTACGCAGAGTTACAACTTACAATATTATTGCTTGCTCGATATATATAATATATGTTGACAGAATTCATCACCTGCCTGGACAATTAATGCCAATGAACAAGTGGATTCACGCATCTATATTTCCGACGTGCAAACAAACACCCCCACCAAAGTTTTGTTGAAGTTCCAAATCCATATTTACTAATTTTTAGCAAGCAGATAATTAGAGCCTATGTGGAATCTTACGCAGAGTTACAATATTATTGCTTACTCGATATATATATAAGGGAATTTTAACGAAAAGCTCTCAGTACTGTTCGCTTTAACGAAAAACCACATTTTTACACTAAAAAGTCAATCTTGATACTATTCACTTTACCTTTTATTTTGTCCTTATCATTAAAACTCAAAGTTTTCAAGCCATTTTTATTAGTTTTTCTTATATATAATATATGTACATAATTCATCACCTGCCTGGACAATTAATGCCAATGAACAAGTGGAGTCACGCATCTATATTTCCGAACTTTTTTAAATTTATTATTTTTGAAGTTAAGGGATTAATAGTTGTTGATTGAATACGTAAGTAATTCATACGAATTCTAGTAGATTTCACACTTATAGTTAAACTATACAAAGTTGCGTACGTGCCACTTTATTCTTGTCGATTGTGTACATGAACAGTAGATTTTTTTCGTTTTTGTTGGGGTGGGAGGTGAACAATTAGTAGTTGGTTCCGTTCTTGTACAGAAAAATATATTGCTTACACTGAACCTTCGTTTGAAATGTGCATGACATGTTTGTGATGACTGATGACTAAAACAATGTCAAACATGAGGTGGGAGGATCAATAGCTATAGTAGTCAAACAGTCAAACACGAGTCGGAAGAGTACCAAGTTTTTGCTTTTTTCACTCAATAAAATATAATCATGTTTGGGCTAGATTCTTATAGGATTAAACAAACTTTCTGACAACAAAAAAAACTTTTGACCGCAATTGGCTGAAAAAACTTAAACTTGCTTCTAGATCATAAAAGCGTTTCTTGAAAGAATGAGGAAGAAAGACACATGCCAAATGCTTAGCGATCCTCACAGTCCTTCTAAGTAAGCACTTGAATTTTTAATAAAAAAGTTCCGACGTATTTCTAATAAAATGAAAGTTATATATATTTTTTCTCATGGGTATCGTATCAGATTTTGGCAGATGGAAATTTCAAAGAAATTTGAATTTTCTAGTGTTACGGGTGTGAAGTCACTGCAGTAGTCTGCTGTTTCAAAGACGAAAGAAAAAAAAAGAACTGGGAAACCAAATTATCTCCTGCATCAGATTTTGGTAGGCCAAAGCATATATATATATATATATATATATATATATATATATATATGCATCTACAATGTGAAAGAAAAGAAAAACAAATAACGGTCAAATAAGACTAATCAAACTCTTAGATGGGTTTTCTTCAAAGCTCTTCAGAATCACCTTCTGTACAACATCTCTACAAATGGAGCTTCAAAATTCAAGGCCTGCTGTAATATTATGATCATCATTTGGTATATAGAAATTTCCAAATATATATGTTTTAGCTAACTACTAATTAACTACCACATAAAAAATAATTTATTATGAAGCATAGATCTTTTATAAATATAAATTAACTAAACAAGCTAGCTAGATAAATATGTGTTTATCTGGAAATGGGAGTTCTTCAAAAAACTTGAAAGATCATTTCTTCTTGTGCAAAGGGTTCGATCCCGTCAGAGCCCTTCGCTTCTGTAAGACCAAAAAATGGACACTCGACTAGGATTCTTTTCCCTTTTCTTCCCATCCTTTTTTATCATCTCTTCTCACATTCTTTTGCTATAAAAAATGAATATAAGATGTTGATGTGGATTAACCGTGATCGTTCAAATAGGAGATGAGAGAAGGAAAGAAAAAAAAAGGGGAAGAAAATCCTATTCTTTAAAATAATAGAGTTTTACTTTGGACAGGTTGACTGACAGGCTAGAGTGGGAAATATCAAATATGACAAAACTAAAAGACAAAAAGAAACCCTAAGAAGAGGAACTCAAAGTTACTGAGTTTCCCTTTGGACAGTCTGACTGACAGACTAGGACGGGAAATATCAAGTATGATAAATTAAACGGCAAAAGAATTTCGTATTTGTATAAGAAGTGTCACACAAATTACTTCAGTCTAAGTAATTTACCAATACAAGTAATTGAAAACCTTCATGCATAATTGACACCGACATTTCGTAGCCCGGACGGCGCCCGTGTCGGATTCAGTTTCGTACTTTTATTTCCGATCAGAGTATCTAACTTATTAGAAGCTTCAAGTTTTAAAACTGGTTTGGATGCTTACAGCAAGGCCAACTTTGTTTAGGGCCTGTCCTAATTGTGGGAATTACACGGTGCCGTATGGATGTTGATGGAAAATGAGTGGATGGTGTAACTGCAATGATTGGTCACTTCTTCGAAGGAAAAGCATCTCTGCTTGGAGAGATAAGGGTGACAACGCGTGTCAATATCTCCACAGGGACAAAAAAGGAACGTCCTCGAAGCTAGTTTCCAACCAAACAAAATTGAGAGCTTCTGGTTCACATGATAAGCATATTTCCCATTATTTTTGTGCCAAGAGATGGGGAATGATTTTCGTCCATGTAAAGGGATTCACGTGCAAAATTTTATGGAAAAAACGATTCAGTTTAATTTGGTTTAAGTTTAAAAACAATTTGATAACAATACGATTTGATTTGATTTAATGTAAGTTATAATTTGGTAAAAGGTCAATTCATTAATACCTATACCATATTCAGTTCTTTGATGTGAGCAAGTCCCGTTCACATCACCACAAAATAAAAATCAAACTAAATGATATAAATTGTTTTGGTTCACTCTTGGCCTGATGTGATTGATTTTATTCAATTCAGGGAAGAGTTAGGAAAAGAAGAAGAGGGGGAAAGATGAATAGATGCAGAAAGAGAGAAGAAAAAACCGAATGCGCTAATGTGCGGACTGGTTCAACCAAACTAGTTCAATGAGACCCAAACTAGTCTTAACCAAAATTGAACTTTTCAATTTTTACGTCTCACTTTAGCCACTTTCATCAGTTTTCTAGTTCAAATACCCACTCTTACTATGAATCAAGATTTAATGCATGTTTACTTCATGTTGACATTATTCTGAGAATATTACTTTCATTCCTTCTTTTGGGGGTGAGCTCATTTTCCCTACTTGCAAATTATATATCTTCATCGTAGAAATATTATAATCGGAACATTCAATGTCTTAATCTTCATTTGAAACTCATCATTACCAAAAAAAAAAAAATCATTCGTAATGGAGATCGTTTTGTCATCCACATGTATCAAATATGTGAACGGTTCATCATTGATATATACTTGGTACCTACACCTTGATGTATTTAATATATTTGAATGACTAAATGATCTCCATTGAGAATGAACGCATCCAAAGTGTCCCTTCTCTTGGAAAAATTAGTATCCGGTCTCTAGTTCTTACTATTCATTGACTAAGACCTTATTAGTTCTCAAATTTTGATTCAAGTCCCTATTATTAATGTGATAATGAATTTACATGTTTATTATATAATTTTTAATATAAAAATTAGTAATTAATTTAGGGTTTAATACTCACACCTCTATTAAACTTCTAATTAATTTTCAATTCAAACATTTCCAAAATAAAAAACAAATTAAATTAAGTTTGTACCTATTAGTTTTTTTTTATATATATAAAAAGATTCTCAATTTTTTTATCTTAAATGTACCCATTCATATAATTTTTCAATTTTTTAAATCTTAAATGTACCCATTCTCAAATATATCAATTTGTTATATGTAAAATGTACCCTTTTTTTAATATAAAATCCATTCAAAATTTTTAATCCATGTTTAAACTTATATGGGTACATTCTTTTTCGTTGATTTGAGAATGTATCCATGTTTTGGTACAATACCTTTTTTTTGTTAATTTTGGTTAATGTACCCATACATATATGTACACACACACACAATATAATAGAGAGTATAATTTATATTTTATTATTTTTAATCCCATAAATTATGGGTTTTATTTAAAATCTCATTAATATAAACAATTACAAATTTCAATTTTTAATTTTTAATTTAAAAATATAGTAACTTACATTATTATATTAATGTCAGGGACCTCAATAAAAAATTAAAAACTAACAAGGTTTCAATCAAA